GCATTACGCGTTCTGTCTTACTTCGTTGCATACTATAAATGTGAGCAGAAAAAGCACAAATCGTGTACTTGCATTGTTGTTTAGGTTAGTCATTGTTATCGTTTGCCTAAAAGACATTATGTGACCTTCGATGGTTTCACTACAAATTAAGGTAACTAATGCTACTTTGTAAGAATAGCAAACAATATTTAATATGGAAACTTTTAAGTTATGTTTCAATTGTGACAAATTGATTCTAAAGTGACAAAGTACTCAAAGTACCAATGCAATTCGATGATTGATGAAATCATTTTTCTACCTAACACTATGCAGAGGGCGTAGCAATTTTGTTTTTCTCTTGATTTTTTTCTAATATTTTTTTTTTAATGATTTATGTCTAATTTTGAATGAACGTTTTCATTTTTTATTGGAAGAAAACTTGGATACATAGGGTATTTTTTTATAAAATTATTCATGTGAGAGCATTATAAAAGAATTATTAATTTGAATGTTTAATAAAATAATGTAAGTTTCAACGCAACATTCTTTATTAAAACTTCATATCAAACTAGAAATAATCAGATTGAGAATTCTGAATATCTTTCAATAATAAATTTGTTCTTTTTTGTTCTAATAATCAGCTACTACACCATATACAGGTACGGAAAATATCAGATGGATAATACTATATTTGTCAATATTGATATTTGTATTTTTCTATCTTTTTCTGTTCAAATTATTTCATCATGGAAGATAATGTCAAATTCCTTCTTTTAATCCCATTATAGTGTCATAAATATGCAACAATCATCATATATACTTGTCTAAATTGTGTAATTATGCATACATATAAGGTATATAACGTTGTATACTGAAAGTATTTCTATTGATGATTGTTAGTGTTATACATACGCTCATTTTTTTCTTTGCTAGACTTTGCTTAATCCATTATGCATATTTATTAAAAATATTTGATCGTTTCTTTCAAGTAGTTTTCTACATATTTTGACAAGTTTACAAAGGTTGTTGGTGTTAGTGATGAAACGACGATCCATATCTATATTCCTATATAATGTATCATTTATAGTCTTTTAAATCCAAAAATCAAAATTAAATGTTTGAAAGAAACAATATAAGTGACGAAAAATGAATAGTATCTTGGATATCGGATAACATAAAAGCTAGAATAGGATCAACAATAAATAAAACGTCACAAAATGATAGACGAAATTGTTGGAAAAGTTTTCACTACGATAATGCTGTTCGGTACATGATTGGAGTAGTAGGTCATTTCAAAAGGAAAAACCAAAGCCGTATGTTCATTCTTCAATTAACTTCCATCTATTTATTTACATTGTAATTATTTTTATTCTTTTATAACCTAAACTTATTCAGTGAATACTTTATCTAGTTATAAACTAGTTACATTCAATATGTTATCGTCTTCTTTTGACTATTATTTTCTACATCATTTGCATTTCTATCGATTTTATCGGTAATTTCAACATTTCGATTGTGTCAATTGATAATAAATATATGGACACAACATCAACCTCTTCATTCAGTCACAATTAGCCATATAAATGAATTTAATCTGAATATCAGAAAACAACAAATAATAACTTTGTCATTGATAGAAATTTAACTGATAAGTTTATATTTTACCTATAAAAAAAAAACTTTTATTATACCTCATGGTTCAAAAGAAATCAGATTATATTTCAATTTAGAAACCAATGGTTATAGAATAAAATTATAACGTTTTTTTTTATTATATGAGATAGATTTCTGTTATTGATCTAGTATGTGAAAAAGTTGCATTTACAAAAGAGAAGATATTTTTTTAGATCGTGGCAATATGTATTTTTAAAATCAATCACTAGAAAGAAACATATATATGTAACAAATTATATGTTCTGATAATGCAGTCTAAATAAAAAAGAGCAAACAGAAATCGGTTGACGATTGATAAATTGTTACATAGGAAGATATGTTTTGTATGATTGATTATAAGTAGAAAAATGGATATGATAGTACACTTCAATTTAATTTAATATCCCATGTCCTGTATATTCTGAACTACTAATTTTTTTTCTTGTATTTTTCCTGAGTTCTTTAACAAAATGATGAGTTTTTTCTGGTATTATTTTTTATTGTGTAATTGTTGCTTAGTTTATTTGTATACTTCAAGTTTCGCGAAGTGTTTTTTACGGATTTCTAGATTTTTTTTGACCAATCGTTAGTTTCAGCGGTTGAAAAATTTTACGTAGGCATTTCAATGAAATAAATATTTAGGTCTATTATAATTTTAGACTTTATCTTTTACTTCTTTTTTTCTTTTCTTGTTATTTGTTAAATAAAACTTAGCAACAGAAAGATAAATAGTGGATTCTCTATCAATTATTATTATTCTTGGGTGTGGATAAAACGAGACATGTATAAACTTCAAGGTTCACAATGAAAATTTGTAGTAGTGAAAACAACTGAAAGTGAACCAGATAATACATTTTATTAAAATAGTTTTGCTTTTATCAAGGATATGTGGTATGCATATATGTTTCCCATGGAATTATTCATTCGTATACTGGATTTGTGTGTGTGTGGCCCATTTTCAATCATAATTTCTAAGCAAATATTGTTGTTCGTAATGGTTTTCACTTCAATCATAAACAAGTCACGTATTCTTTTGTTTCATCAGTAACTCGTGTAGACCATTATAAATCGAACGATACAATTTTAACCGTATTGCTAAGTTGTAGTAAAGCAAAGGATTAAAACGAAGAATTCAAGATGTGCTTTGTTTAATTACCATCAGAATCCACAGTACATCGTCATGAGCAAAAATTAATCTATTGTGATAGTTCAGTTATCGCACACGAGGTTATCATTACTCGAAAGTTTCCACATCTTGCTCTAGCAGAATATCTTGGAAAAGTGCTTCAATCAGACACATTATTACTATGTAGTAATATGTACTAAAGAAACATTGGCTGAACTTCATCTATACGAAAATTAGATTACTGATGAAGAATTTCTTTATGTTGATCATGCCGTTGGATAACGAGGTGTTCAATATTTGACTTACCATTAACTCAAAATACAGCATTTAGAAATCTTGATGTTCTCTCCAATGAACGCTTTGAATATATTCAAAGTGAACAAACTATCGAATCGAAACAAGTAAGGCTAAAGATTCCATAAGTTGCCTATTAGGAACACTAGATGAGAGAAGATACTACTTTGTGTGCATTGTGAATTCATAGTCTTTCTGAAAAAACAGTGATGAATATAGTCTCATAGTTATAAATTTTTATATAACTCAATTTAACACCATTTTGTAACTATTTTGTTCTTTGCCGACTGATATGACAATAAGCTCTTTTGCTGATCGATCATCTACTATCTTCAACTATATTCATTCATACATCTAATAACACTATGTGTCTTACATGTGAGTTATCTCTGTCACATTTCCATCTCTTGTAGCACTTGTATTTAGCAAAAATGACATTGAAGAATGGGAGGTCTCGGAAACCATTGTTATTCATATAGATTTAGATACTTCTATCTAACAAATTTTCATTTTTGAGAACTATTCTTATACAAAGTAAGCTATACATCAGTCATAAAAAAATGATGGGACTCATCTCTTACTTAGTAATTGAATACAGGATTGATCTGAATTATTTTTGTTTTCTAGAGCCAAGTTTGGATAAATGATACAGGTCAACATAGTTAAACCTTTTACTTTTGCTTTATTATGATGAAATTTGAGAACAAAAAAAAAATTAATATAGCTTTATGATTTGGTTTATCAATATTGCATGAGCTGGCTTCGAGAATTTTTTATCTCAAGCTTTAGATTAAATTTATCTGTGAATAGAGCTTTTCAATTTCTATGATTCAATCTATGTAGGAATTCGTTTTTGGTTGAATGTTCGACAAGAAGTTCTTTTTCATGCTGTTCACTTTGCTGAGATATCATCTTAGTAAAAATATTCACATGGAAAAAATACTGAATCAGTAAAGATTATGAAGTGTTCTTTAATGAAAATCATCCGAAGTTTGTATTTCAAATGCACTACTTTTAGTTCTACCTAAAGATATATTCTAGTCATAGTGTGAAGACATTGAAGTGATCACAATTACTGAATAAAATTTGTTAGGTATCGTAGCAGCTTTTTAAAGGTAAATAGGAAGAATATTCTCGCATATCATATATCGACTACACAAACAACTTTTTTGCTTCATGCATGTGTTTCAAATGTTCTGTTTTTAAACAAAAGAAAATGTCGAAGTCAATTCGGCATTACACTTTTGAGAAAAATAAAAAATAACTATCAACGGAAACGAGACCAGTTTAATCTTTATTTCATTAATTTTTTGTAATTATCATCTCTGAGAAGATAATTATGCAGATTATTTTGCAATATATAATTATTATTAAATAATGTTCATGAATGTCTTCGTTTGCTTTTTGATATTGTTGATATCCTAGTATTCACTCTGTTTTCAATAGTTCGATTTGTAACATCAAGTCATGACCATAATTTTAATATAGCGTCATTTCATGTTGCATGAAAAGTAATATTGACAAAAAGTGGTCTCTATGTATAATAGTTTTTTCGAAATACAAAAAATCAAAGTATAATAGAATTATGATAGTATTACGGGAACAAGATTAGTAAGAAGGGTTAGCATAAACGAGACTGAAAATTATCTTAAAAGTACTTTGACAATCGGAAAAAGGATTTCTTAAAATTCAAAGTTTGAATTGAAAAATCAATAAACCGTCAAGTTACTTCTAACTCATCTTGTTAGTGTTACAAGTACATACTTTTCATCGGCTATTTGCTGCATGTGCGTGACACAGCCTTATATATATATCTTATCTGTCGGACGCAAACACTATTTCAAAATATGCTTTAGTTGTGTTGAGATTGCATTTTCTTTTTCTCTTTTAAGTTACTGAAAAATTTCATTAACCTATATTCTTATCATCTATACTTGTAAGTTTAGCAATGGGTAGAGTAAATGAGACCTTTGTATTATTTCTGCATATTCAAATTATATTTTGGTGTTGGATACCGTCTATAATATCGATAAAAATCAGTCCTTGCGCAAGATGGAATACAACAGGTGAAATAGTGGCTGGTCTCGGTGGAAGAGGTAACAATCTCGATCAACTTCTTGATCCTGAAGGAATTTTTATTCATAGACAAACTAACACATTATATGTGTCTGACACTGGTAATAACCGTATTCAAATTTTTACACTTAATCAGCTATCGAGCATGGGCACTACCGTGATATTTAATGTTACATATCCTACAAAGCTCTATGTTGATGATGACAACGATGGGCAAACCATTTATGTCACTGTTCGAAACGAAGATCGTATCAAAAAATGGGTTAAAGGAGCATCAGATGGCGTGCAAGTTGGAGGAGAATGTTTGATGTGCGAAAGCGTCTGGGTAGACAAAGAGAAAAATGTTTATATGACATCAGTGATGAAACATTGTGTGTATAAGTGGTCACCACTAACAGATATTACAACGGTCGCCGCTGGTAGAGAAATGGGTCAAGGATCTGGAAGTGATTCTCTCGATTCTCCTGAAGGTATTTATGTCGATAATATCAGTGGTACCGTGTATGTCGCTGATTATGCGAATCATCGCATCCAGAAGTGGTTAAAAGATGCTCTTAATGGTACTACTGTGGCTGGATTAAGCACAGGCAATCAAGGCAGTGATGCTGAATCGTTGTCGTATCCGACTTCTGTATGGGTCGATGATGAAACGCAAGTTGTGTACGTGGCAGATTCAGACAACAATCGAATTCAACGTTGGTTACCGAATGCATTCATAGGTGATACTGTTGCTGGTGGAGCAGGTATGGATGTAGAATTTCGACTAGCTTTGCCCGAATTTTCGATCAGACTATTAGAAAATATAGTTTTTTTTTGCATCCAGTCAATGGTATTCGTTATAAATGAATGAAACATCAGAATCAAATAGAAAATAGGCTAATATTTTTAACGAAGAAGCAATTTTGAGCTTTCGCTGCGATGAACTGACAGCAATGGGGAATGACTATAATAATGTATATCCTATATTCTTATCCATCTTAAATTAATCTTGAGATTTTTTTTTATTCCGTGCTATAGCGAAAAAAGTATTTAAATCGTTATCATACTCTAAGAACATTTCATTATAGGTTGGGGTGATAAACCTAATCAATTTGAGCAGCCCGTCGATTTGGCATTTGATAATGATGGCAGCCTCTATGTGTGTGATCGCATCAACGATCGTGTTGTCAAGTTTACAATTATTTACAATGAGCCATGTTTTCCAGTACCAACAACTAGTTCAGGTTCTTTATCTTTGATATTTTCAGTATATTTTTATTTATTTTGCAAGTTTATCATAATCGATTATGTGACAGTTACTGCGAGCTGCAGAGGATCACTAGTTCTTTCCTAGAGTTATCCAATTGAAGTACTCATAAGTCTATAAGACCTATTTGAAATGAATGGGTGTGAATGTAAGTCATTTTCCAAATTACAAACAGTCTCACACCGACATTTACAGTCATATCCACGTATCCCACACTAAATCTTAGCGTTGCATTAGCCTAAAAACGTGAGAATCTATACCTCAACCATTGTAAATACTGTCGTGATTCCTGGTGAAATTCGATAATTATGAAAACTCGACAATAGTCTTCAACTTTTAGTAGAACTTTGATATCAAGTTATCACACTTTTATTGTATATGTTAGAGGAATAATAAAGGTGTGTACTTATATAGTCTTAGCGACATCGTCGCAATGCAAATCATGCCAGAGCATAAAAACTCAAGTATGTTGAGTCTTGGGATAATGTTAGTTTTCTTTTAGCGTTCTTTTTTAAATGTTTGAAAAAATCAATTTAGCACGCTACGATTGATGTGAATTCTGGCACTTTTGAAAATTCTTCTTACATTCATCATGTTGCTATAAATAGATCAAGAAAATTTTGAAAAGTGAATTAGAAGAGAACAAAAATTGTTGAGTACTTATATTTCTATATATTTAGCTTCAATTTATGGTCACTAAGGTTATATTGATAGATGCCTCTATTATTTAGATGTTTTAGAAATGAAATTTTAGTAGCAATTTTTTCCAACGAAGTATCACTTATTCTCTTTCTAAAGCTGAAAATTATAACCTTCTAGCCGCGTTCTATCTAAAACTAGTGAATTTACGATGGAAATCATTAATATTTCATAGTAGTATATTGACAACTTCACAATAATA